GAGGAAGCAAATACAAGGGATGGTATGGAGATAGAATCCAAAATGTTTGGTCATTTACAGAATGAGAGAAGGAAATTGTGGGGTTTTCAGTCTAAGTGGCACCTTGCCAGGGAGAAAGGAGGGTAAGGTGTCTAGTTTGGTTGACATTTTTTATAAACTTTAAACAGTTAACCCATAAACATCTACCTTCTTCTGGAGCAAATTGTTCTTCCCAATATTCACGCACATCCCTCGAAAATGCTACCCTTTTTACATTTTATTTTTTTATTACCTTCTTGAAATCACATATTATTTTAAATTGGTTTTTCCCACAACAACAAAAAAAAGCCATTTTTATATTCCATATCCCTCTTCCCTCCCCCAACCGCTGGAAGACCCTATTCTTGAAGTTAATACTCTTATAATATCTGAATCAATAAAATAGTTGTTAGACTAATTTCTTCCAGGATTAAATTTCATAAAACATCAAAAGGAAGCATATTCTGCTCCTATTGCTTTTCTCAGTATTGCTAGAAATACGTTAACTGCAGGACAGTCTTGACACACATACATAGGCTATATAGTATTTTCTGCTAGTTAAATATTTTAATATATCAAGCACTAATGTGTAGACTGTTTACAGACATTGAGAACCACCACCCCCCCCCCCCCCCCCCACTGACCTCCAGATACAAGAGTAGACAAACCCAGCAAAACTTCACAACTATCTAATTAAATCACAAGGGACTTTTTGTCTCACTGGTGAAACCCAGTCAGGAACTATGCAAATGGAAAGAACCATCCCAAGTACTTTTAGGGAGCATGCTTAGTGCCTTCCTGCCAGGAACAATTACTGACCAACTTGCATGAGAAGAATATAAAAGGGAGGGATAACTTATTTGAGTTTCTCTTGCCAGAATTTCCTACATTGAAGGAAATCATACAAGTAGGAAATGAGGACACATTCTAAAGGGGTAAGAGATTAATGTTAGTATTATGATATTGGCAAGTGGGAATACTGTATAAAAAGAAAATTCTTAGACCAAGGAACACACATTTATAAGATACTTATTTTAGTACAAAACCCTGTATAAATTCTGGGTGGAGCACAAAAATTGTTCATACATATCATAAGTGTTCGTGGAATGTCTACTATGTGCCAGTACTGTTATAAACAGAGGATAAATAACACAGAAAAAGACAATATTCCTGGCCTCACAGAGGCCAATAGTGGGAAAGGAAGATAAGAAACCAACTAACTAAATGTACTGTGAAATACTGTCACAAGAAAGCTGAGTGTAGAGTACACAACAGGGACCCCCACACAAAACCAACTGCAAGATTCAGAGGCTCTCCAGAACTTATTTGAAAAAAGGCTTGTGTATTGGTTTCTTAGAGCCGCCATAACACATTACCACAAAGTTGGTGGCTTAAAACAACAGAAATTTATTCTTTCACAATTCTGAAGACCAGAAGTCTAAAACCATGGTGATGGCAAGATCGTGATCCATTTGAAGACTCTAGGGAAGAATTCTTCCTTGACTCTTCCGGTTCTTGGTGGTTCCCAGACATCTTTGGCATTCCTTGGCTTATAGCTACATCAGTAGCCTCCATTGTCACGTGAACATTTCCTCTGTCTCCTCTGAGTCTCTGTGTCCTCTCCCTTTCTTATAAGGACAACAGATAAGGCCTCACTCCAATCCAGTAAGATATCATCTTATCTAATCACATCTATAAAGACCCTATTTCCAAATAAGTTTACATTCTGAGGTTCCAGATAGACATGAACTGTGAGGGGATACTATTCAACCCACTAAACCAGGCAAGAAATGACATGACCCTGATCTAAGGTAGTGGAGAGAAGGGGAAGAAGTCTAAACAACTCTTGGTTTTCTAGCTTGAGTCACATGTTGGCTCCAGCCCTGAGATGAGACATTCTAAGCAGAGGGAGCTTTCCTTGGGGTGTTGGTACTATCAAGTTCTTAGAATAATAACTACTATTTTTGAATATGTATTACTTGCTACGATTTCTAAAAACTCACAATACTAGCTGATAACACTGAAGCTAATGGGGTAAGGAAATTTCCCACAGTCACTCAGTTTGGAAGAAGTGAAAAATGAGAGAGAAGGGGTCAGTGGAGAGTATAGAACAGAGCCCACTGGAGTTGAAAGGGTTTTTAATTTCATAGGCCAGTATTTATACCAGGAAATGGCCTTAGAGTAGTGAAATTTAGGCAGGAGAGTTAAGTTTCTTAAACTACTGTCTTTGGGAACTCCATACATTGTCACCAACATGGCTTATATGAAGAAATTCACAAAGGAAATTGGACATTTGTATATATGACTCTCTAATGACAAATCAAGGAAATCTTGTCCATCAGATAAAATTTGTAAACACTAAGCTGTCAATTAAAGTATTTTAAGTTATTCTAAAAAAAAAAAAAAAAAAAAAAACCCCAAAAACTAAGTTGTCAAAAGTCAGGCATCCCTAAACTTGGTGTTCATCTACCAAACCAAGTGCTGTTTTGCCCTCCCTCCTCATCCCTTTGGCTAACACCCATCCATCAGCTCTTTGCCTCTGGGAAGCTTCTTCTGACCCTTATTAAAGAAAATTACTCAAACACAGAAATAAGGCAAAAAATAATTATGTGACCCTTTAATGCCTCGCTAGACATGCTCCAATAAGCCCACTCGTGGGTCATCTCTTTTGGGGAATGTAACTTTGTTTCACTTAATTATTGCAATTGATTAGGGCACTGACACTTTACTACTCTGTACAGTTAGAATTTTAACTTCAAAAAAAAAAAAACATGATAAAGTGTGATTATTTTTCTGGCTAGCAGAGAAAACAACCCCTAAATCACAGTTTTATAACACTATTGAACATTGATCAGCTTTGTTTCCCATTTAGCAATCTTTAACACGCTACTGATTTTTAAATTCTATTACTCATATTCTTTTTGAAACAGTAATGTCATTATGCTAGTTCACTCCTCAATAATAAGGTAAATAAAGCTTTGACACATGCTCACTATCTTTTTTATGAAAATTATGCTAATAACTTGAAAATTATTAACATATCCCAGGAAAGAATTGACACCCCCTCTACCCTATCCCAGCTACTTCTACAGCAAGCACTAAGGTAATGGCTTGTTTGCCTTCTCTGTCAGACCAAGCAATAACTTCTAAGAAATTAGTGAACATAGCTGTCTTACATCCCACTGTTGTCTCCAGAACCCCGTAAAAGGATTGTCCCAGAGGATGAGCTCAATAAGAATTCCTGAATGCTTCTCTTACCCAAGTACCTCCGAACATTTTCTCCCATTCTTCTCCTTTGTCCATCTGGATCTGAAGCTTCTGGATAATGGCTCCGTTCACTACTGCAGCCTCTCTGAAAAGTATCAGCTTATTATCTACTTAAATGATAGGTTTTTCCCCCCGTGGAAGACATACAACAGAGTTTAGGCCTGACAACGAGATGGAATTCACACCATCTGCCTGGGCATCACTAACCTTCAAAAATAAATTTTAATAAGTCACTACTACCACTTTGGGAAAAAATGTCAGTTTTTATTAAAGATAGAAATTGGTTACACAAAGTAGCATATTATAAGGAAAGTGCTGTTAAACTAACTCTAAAATACACAGCAATATGTAAAAAACGTCTGAAATACATAATCTCCTCAAGCAGAAGATGCTATATCCATACTTGTCAATCAAAGTCTATCAGAATATGGAATGAGCATCATTTTTGTAACCTAGTTCTTTGTTTAAAGACTATTGGTATTAGGCACACAGCCTCTCCTCTGCTGTCCTGCCTGCGGCTCCCTTGCGCACCCTTGCGGTGGATTCAATAAACTTCTATTTCCTTAAAAAAAAAAGACTATTCTATTGATTTTAAGTTTGTCATAGTAATGAAAGCTTTAGTAGGTATCTCATTAAACTCTGCCAGTTATCAACTTATTGACTCTGCTTTCAATTCATCCTATGTGCCTTCTCTGTGAAAATGGTTCTGGGACCCTTAAGTATTTTTCCTCTATAGCTGATAGGATGTTGTTTTCTCAGTAGAGGGCGCTGGAGAGACACTGCAGGACAAAAGTCTTGTTCCTACTCCAACTTGTTCAGCTGGCAGGCTATTAGGGATCCGGTTTTTCTGCAGAAGAAACTTCCCCCGATACCCAACGTCTGCGGCACAGGCAGCTTCTCCAACATCAGGTTCATGCAGCATGGACAGTTGCTCCGGTGTCCAGCCGCCAGCACACAAGGCCTCCCCAGGCCCTATAAGTGCACGGTGGCCATTAGCACCCAGTGACTAGCAGGTTACCCCAGCTACTCTAACGCATTTTGTAATGGAATGTCTCTGGTGAGACACTTCCTCTGAACAGATTCCTCCAGCAACCTAGAGGATGGATTTCCAGCAAGATCCCCTGGCACAAACCCTCCAGCAAGGTCTCAGTCCTGGGATGGGGGGCGAGGGGGACTCTTCCATGGTGCTCTGCCTAAACTCTTCTTAAATCTGCTATTCCTATGTTTTTTAGAGTTCTCTTTATTTCTTCCTAGCCAATTCCTCATTATTCCAATACCCTATTACAATTAACAATTTTTTATATTAAACTTTCCCTTTTCATATTACTGCGTGCCTTCTCTCTCCTGACTGAACCCAGACTGAGACAAACTCCTAGGAGCAAAATAAAAATGAAGCACTTTTTAAATTTAAAGACATCTTATTGGGCACTTGATGTAAAGAGCAATTTCTCATTGACAAAAACAACAATGAAATATTGTATCCTAAAATATGGAAATACAGGGTGCCTGGGTGGTTCAGTCAGTTAAGCCTCCGACTCTTGATTTCATCTCAGGTCATGATCTCAAGGTTTATACGTTTGAGTCCCACACTGGGTCCCAAGCAGGCTCTGACAGTGTAGAGTCAAAATAAATAAACTTAAAAACGATTTTTTTAAATAAAAGATGGAAATACTTGGGATTTAGATGGCTAAGAAAAATGAAAACATAGAGAGAGATTTGTCTTGTGATTTTCTTTTCATCTAAACAGTTCACATCATCACAATCACATTTGTTTACTTTGAGATGAGCAAGATACATTCTAAGAATTTGGGGTTTCAGGGAGAGTGAGATTTCTTCAAAGTTTAATGAGATTTTTTTTTCAAAGTTTTAAGACTTAGATATTATCTTTGTAGTCAGATAGGCCAAGTTTAACCCCATTCTTTGCCTGCTCAATAACTCCGGACAAATGTTTTAACTTCTCCAAATCCTAGGTTCTTCCCCTAGAACACGAGGATAGCAATGCCTACAATGAAGGATGGTTGTAAGGATTAAATGACTAATGTGCATCATACACAGCATCGCCTCTGCTCAGTAAGGGAGAGTGACTGCCACTATCAGTATTGCTGAGATTTTATTACCTAACTTTTTAGCTTTATTAATTTCATGATCTCTTTTTTAAGCAAGTATGTGTCAGAAGAAGATCCTATAATATCAATGTGCGTCTCGTAAAAATTAATCAGAACCTTAGGGTACCTCAAACTTACTTGTTCACAGGCCGACTTAATCCTTCTTTTATCTCTATTCTCCTTTCCTTTCAAAAGAAGTGTCTCTTTTTTAAGCTCAAAGTGAAGAGCAAGTGAATATTCCTCAATAAGTGCTTTCACAAGCTTTGCATTGTTTGGGTGAGAACATTGTTGAGCATTTCTTATACAGATTGTGGTGATTTCACCATCCACTCTCTCCTGACAGAAAACATGACATTTTTTCAATGTGCTTTCATAAAATCTGCTCTTTTTCAGATAAAGGAATACATCTGTATCGAGAACAAGTGTTTCTCCGCTCGTAGTGGTCTCAGGTACTGAGGACCCGGGTGACTCTGAGGAGTTACTGCCTCTCTGGAGATCCCTTTTGGGGCCCTGGCTTTTCCACTTCTCCTCACTGATAAAATTCCTGTTTTTTTCTAAAAGAGAACTTGCTTTTAATAGCAAAGTTTCTTTAAGCCTCAGGATATCCAGAAATGACCCTTGCACAGAGACTCTTCCATTGGGTTCCAGAGGACTGAAGGATAAAGTTGGGATTTTCCTTGTCAGGTCCGTTACCAGACTTTCTAGAATGACTTGACTCCGAAAAACAGAAAGATCGAGGATAGCTTTTACAGAGCTGAAGACCTAAAATTAAACAGAGAGAAATGAAAACAGCACTGTCTAGGGGAGTGAACAACATAAACACATTTTTTCCTGCCACTTTCTCCATCTCTACAGCAGTTGCCCTAAACCAAACCCCGCCTGCCCAGCACAGACTAGTTTCGCGCGCCACAGCAGGGATCTCACAACCCCATCAAGGCCATAATGTTCAATTTGGGATTCCCGGTCCCTCAGTGCATTTCCCAAAAAGAGCTAGTCAAATATGTTTTAGAGGCAGAATGTTATTTGAACCAAAGTCTTAAGCAAAATCCATACACTGTTATGAGGTACAGATACACAATGTTCTGGTTCTTCTCTATGGACAGGAGTTCCCCTGGAGAGTCCTCCAACTTAAGGTCATCAGATGACGGCCCAGAACCCTGTGTTTCTCAGTGAATAGTTTCAGACCAATGAATTTTAACTTTTTCCTCTTAATTCTACCTTTCCTGCCTCTTTGAAGCTCCTTTTTAATGTTCATCCTACTTTTTTTTCTTCCTGAAAATAAGTCTTTAGGTATCTACCTGACATCCTCCATATAAGCATAAAAACTCTGTGTCACTTTGAAAGCATCAAAAGGCACACATAGGAACATGAAACAGATGAGGCAATAAGCCAAAAATTTCAAGACACAGGCTTGGTGTTTAGCACTCAGGTTAGCAAGTTGGCATTTTCTTTTGTAGGAGTCGTGAGATGAGAGTGCTCTGTGTCTCCTGTGTAGGGAACACACAGAAGAAACAGGATCCAGGACTGTAGGCATCACACCTTACCTTTTCACCAAAATGAGAGACTGTGAATTGAGCAGGTCCAACCTTTTCTGCCTGACAGTGTTTCGGTTTTCTGCTGACATTCTTTGCACCTAAGTGGAAACACTGCCATCAGAAGTGTTTGCAGCCTGACACACTAATAATTAATTATTAATAATAGAAATGTTCAACTCTATTATTCAACATGCCTAAGATTTTTTTCATTTTCCTCTAAATTCAACACTTAAATAGTTTTCCCTTCTACTTTAACAGATTAAAGTTGATTTCATGTGTACATTTGATCCTAATCATATTTTTAAAACCACACAAGTGTGTGTATATATATACATGTGTGTATATATATGAATGTATATACGAATAGAAAACAAAAACCTAAAAGTAAATCTTCCCTCTATTAATTATGGCCATAAGGAGACTTCACCTTCTTAAATTCAGAATACCACACTGTCTTTGTTCTCCTCTAATTCATGGTCTCCTTTGCTAATTCTCCTTCTCTTCTCATTCTCTAGATGTTAGCATGCCCCAGGCCTCAGGACTTATACCTCTTTGCAAACATACACCCAACCCCAGAGTTATCTCAACAATCCCACCACTTTAGATACTATCACTAAATGCATCATTTCTGGGGCACCTGGGTGGCTCAGCTGGTTGAGCATCTGACTTCGGCTCAGGTCACGATCTCACGGTTTGTGAGTTCAAGCCCCACGTCAGGCTCTGTGTTGACAGCTCAGAGCCGGGATCCTGCTTCAGATTGCGTGTCTCCCTCTCTCTCTGCCCCTCCCCCACTCATGTTTTCTCTCTCTCTCTCTCTCTCTGTCTCAAAAATAAATAAACATTTAAAAAAGATTTTTTTAATGCATCATTTCCAAATTCTCTTTGGCCTCCACTTTCATCTGCCAGTGGAAATCTCTACTTTATTATCCTAATAAACATCTCAATGACCAAAATTCAAATCTTGATAACTATTCCCCTTCCAAAAGTACTCTTCCTCCAGTGTTCCACATCTCAGAAAATGACAGCTAATCCATCAGCAAATCCTGAATGGCCACCAGTTCCCAGTCAACAGCCCTGTTACCACCCTAGTCAAAACCAGAGATGACCAGGAACTCGTGCTCTCCACGTGGCTGCCAGAGCCACCACCGAAGAAAGGGCAGTCACATTTTATCAGTCATCTGCTCAAAACCCACCGATGGTTTTCCATCTCACCCAGAATAAAATCCAGACACCTTGCCTTGACTTATAGGCTGTTTAACATTATCTGGTTCCCAGCTACCCATCTAACCATATCTCCTTTTCCTCTCTCCCTTGCTCACCCCACTCCAGCCACTCAGGCTGCCTTGCTGTCTTTAAAATGCCCAGCATGCTACCCTCTCAGAAAATGTTTCCTAGTCCTTCCCTTAGCCTAGAATGTTCTTCCCCCTTATCTGCATGAGTCATTCCATTATTTCATGCAGGTCTCTGCTCAAATGTCACCTAAAGAGTACTTCCCCACCCACTCTATCTAATAAAGCAGTACTCTCCATCACATTGTATCCCTTTATTCTGTTTTATATTTTTCATAGCACTCATTACATGTTAATATATACAAATAAATGTATAAACATAAAGATAAATATATAATGTATAAATATATAAATTAATCAAGCACCCAACATATTATATATTCATTTATTTGCTAGTTTATTATCTGTCCACCTGCACGGATGTAGGTTTCATGAAAGAAAACATTTTGCCTGCTTCACTCATTGCCGTATCCTGAAGGCCTAGAATGGTGCCAGGTAAATAATAAGCAGTCAAAAATATTTGTGAACAAATGAATGAATGAGCCTTCCCTTTCTCTCTTTGGTTCAATGTTACCAGTTGAACGTTTAAAATATTAACTTCCAAAAACACAACAATCCCCTGAGAGAAATAATAAGGAGCCCTTCCCATGCTCCCTACCATAACATCCCCATTGAGAAGGAATGACTTAACTATGGTGACAGGTAAAGGTGCTATAATCTATAGTCTTAGGTTTCTCTCTAGAACCTATCTTCCCTCAGGAAAAGCAAGTTCTCTTCTGCTTCTAACCCCATAGAGTATTTTACCTCCAAGACGCTGGCATGGAGACTCATCTTTCTTTGGCAATATATTTTGCCAGTTGCTAAGCTGTAAAGAAGGCTGCCCCTCTCCATGAGGCTGGAGGGATGAATATCCCCTGCAGATCCAACCTCCTCACCTATGTCAGGGATGGGATAGGAACAGAATGGCTCAATCTGATCTCAGATCCAAGCTATTCATCCAATCCAACTTTACCGGTGATAAAGGTGATGCTATATTAGAATATCTTTTTTTAGGTTTGAACAAAGAGAAGCTAATGGTATGACTATATTGCTGAAGCCACTTGAAAATTCAGAGTGATCATATTTGTGAGATTATAGATTCTTGGGGGCTTCATTTCTTTTTCTGTATTTTACAAGTTTTCTACAATAAAATGCATCACGTTCATCCCAAGATCCAGACAGATTCTAAATATAGAAAGAATTCTTCAAGAATTTGGCAGTTGCTAACAACTTTATCATGAGCCATTTTCACATACATTCTTGTTAATACAATATTGTACCAATATATTCAGAATAGAATAATATTTTCAAAATGCTACTTTAAACTCTACCAATCCCATGAATCATTTTAATGAAATTCAGTTCTTGATTTCATTACAGAAGTATTTCTAAAATTACAAAATTTGATTTGGAAATACCTTTTTTCTCTTTGAATGTCACATTTGCAACTCCCCTGCCCCTGGTTCTTGTTGGATGTATCACATGTTCAACAACTCCGCCTTTATTCTTAATATCTTGAAAGTGAGTCTTCACTACTGTGGTCAGTAATTGATCATTAAAAAGGCCAACCGGATGACCAGCAACTTCAACCATTCTTTCAGAAGCTTTGGAGTCCTTGCCTTTCAAAACTGATGCCTGTAAGAACAATAGTAGGATACTCTTTAAATACAAAAATAAGATTCTCCTTAATATAGCCATCATCACACACCAGTGGAAGAGAGTATATTTTATTCAATAAAGGTGCTAGTATAGCTGATCAGACACTTGAAAAAAAAAAAAAAAGGACAGATCCTTGCCTCACGTCATATACCAACATAAACCCCACATGAATTTGAGGGGTACAATGTAAAAAGTGAACTCAATTTTTTTTATAAATGGAAAACATTAGTTAATATTTGCCTGATTTTAGAAAGGCCTAAAAGTAATAGCAATCACAAAGGAAGAGATCAAGAAATACACATTGTAAAAATTTAAGTTTGAAAACAAGTCAAGCCAACCACAAAATATGGTAGTTTGAAGATGGCTAGATGTTTTCTTTATATATATAATGTATATATATTATATATATTTATATTTATATTATATATATTTTTATATTTATAAATTTATAAATAAATTTATATTTATATATATTTATATATTATATATTTATATTATATGTTTATTATATATAATTTATATATGTGTAGTATTTATATATTATATATTATATATATTTATATATATATACAATATATATATTATTTATTGCCACATTGGTTTCCATACAATACTCAGTGCTCATCCCAACAGGTGCCCTCCTCAATGCCCATCACCCACTTCCCCTCCCCACCCCCCATCAACCCTCAGTTTATTCTCAGTTTTTGAGTTTCTTATGGTTTGCCTCCTTCCCTCTCTGTAACTTTTTTTTCCCCTTCCTCTCCCCCATGGTCTTCTGTCAAGTTTCTCAGGATCCACATATGAGTGAAAGCATATGGTAGCTGTCTTTCTCTGCCTGACTTATTTCACTTAACATAATACTCTCCAGTTCCATCCACATTGCTACAAACGGCCAGATTTCATTCCTTCTCATTGCCAAGTAGTATTCCATTGTATATATAAACCACATCTTCTTTATCTATTCGTCAGTTGATGGACATTTAGGCTCTTTCCATAATTTGGCTATTGTTGAAAGTGCTGCTATAATCCTTGGGATACAAATGCCTCTGAGCGTCAACACTCCTGTATCCCTTGGGTAAATTCCTAGCAGTGCTATTGCTGGGTCATAAGGTAGATCTATTTTTAATTTTGTGAGGAACTTCCACACTGTTTTCCAGAGCGGCTGCACCAGTTTGCATTCCCACCAACAGTGCAAGAGGGTTCCCGTTTCTCCACATCCTCTCCAGCATCTATAGTCTCCTGATTTGTTCATTTTAGCCACTCTGACTGGTGTGAGGTGATATTTCAGTGTGGTTTTGATTTGTATTTCCCTGATGAGGAGTGACGTTGAGCATGTTTTCATGTGCCTGTTGGCCTTCTGGATGTCTTCTTCAGAAAAGTGTCTATTTGTGTCTGGCTAGATGTTTTCTCAATTGTACAGTCCAAAGCACATAACCCGCTATGAAACACATCCCCTACTTTTTTTGGTCAGAATTAGAAAAAAAGGGCCCCATAAAAAATAAATAAATAAAACCCTGGCCATAATGGTGGGGCTGCAGTGAAGTAAATCCTGCCTTCAGGCACATACGTGAGATAAAATTCAACAACTAAGAGCATATGGTATTGAAGACCCCGCCACTATGCTGAGCACAGAGCACCAACTGCAAGTAGACCCTTCCCTGAGCTCACTCTCTTCGAACTTCTTACATTATTCAGGTAAAGGGCTTCGGTTTCAATGTTTTGATTTGTTCCCCAGCCCATTTAGGGAAGTGGGCCTATCAGCTGTTCTCAGTGCTTACATAGGTAGTCCAGCCTGATTATAACACAGCTCAGACTTAATCTATCCTAAATTACCTCCAGGGAAGACAGGATATCTCATAAGGCTAACAGATCACAAAGATGTGTAGGGCTGTCAGTTCAGAGGACTCTGTACTCAGAATAGGATTTCGCTGGGTGTAAGCTAGCTATTTCTGACCTCCGGTCAAGAAGACAGTCTAAGTACACAGCATCCTGTCCATCCCAACAGCAAGTAAAACAATAAAAGTAAAGAATAAGAATAAAAAGGAGAATAAGCCCAGTTGACACATTTCTGGAAGACTGAAAATATATAGAAGTATGAGAAGGATAAGAGAGAGAAAAGGATCTAACCCTGAACAAGGAAAGGGGGTTTCATGGGAAAGGTGACAACAGAAATGAAAAAAGGGACCAAAACCAGAAAGATCAGTTGAAAAACTAGTGGCAAAACAACTTCTCCAGTTGTCTCTCCACATTCCTTACCCTCCCTGCATACACACACACACACACACACACACACACACACACACACACCCAGTGAAGGCAGCTGGGTGACAACCTGTGGCTGGGGTGGAAGAGGGGCCGGGGCAGATGACTTAAAGATTATTTTACCTTAAAAAAAACTAAATGAACACTTAGGGAGAATCTGACCTGCTAGTCTGGGTGCTGGCACCTATAGCAAGTCTCCACTACTTTCTGGCATTTGAAGGGACTCCAACCTAAAGATCATAAGCAAACTGAAGTGTGGCACGATTTGAATTAATTTATACAGTACCAAAAATTGCCAGTCCAATTGACACTGCTGCTGGGAACATTTGCCTGTCAAGTGGAAAAGGAAAAATACACATGACATTGGACTAAAAGGAGAAAAAGTAATCACAGCACAGTACTAGGCGCGGCTATAAACAGTATTTACTATTTGCAAAATAATGTAAAAACTCCTATTGGTTTTTTTTTTTAATTTTTTTTTTCAACGTTTATTTATTTTTGGGACAGAGAGAGACAGAGCATGAACGGGGGAGGGGCAGAGAGAGAGGGAGACACAGAATCGGAAACAGGCTCCAGGCTCTGAGCCATCAGCCCAGAGCCCGACGCGGGGCTCGAACTCACGGACCGCGAGATCGTGACCTGGCTGAAGTCGGTTGCTTAACCGACTGCGCCACCCAGGCGCCCCTAGACTAATTTTGTTAAGTCTCTGAAATACTAAGATTTAAGTATGACTACAGAATAAAATGGAAACATTCAACCCTGCCAATTTAAGAATAAAGGCTGAACTAACAGAAGTTGAGAAAAAAATAATCTCCTCTTACACTACTGAAAAGCAGGCCATTCTATCAAAATTTTAAGAATATTTTGGAAGCTACAAAAATATGCCATAGGAAATTTTTAAATAATATTAAAACTTTCAAACTTGGAAGGTAGGAAAAGGCAGATATTACTTAAGTGAAATCCTCATGTATCATAGTAGGAATTCAACAGAAAATGATGAAAGTCAATGATGCCTGCCCCAAGGATATATACTCTCTCAGCATCTCTTTGGTATTTCAGCTAGTAGTTGTCAAAATCAGGTGGCAAGGGGCGCCTGGGTGGTTCAGTCAGTAAAGAGTCCAACTTCAGCTCAGGTCATGATCTCATGGCTTGTGAGTTAGAGCCCCACATCCGGCTCTGTGCTGACAGCTCAGAGCCTGGAGCCTGCTTTGGATTCTAGGTCTCTCTCTCTCCCTGCCCCTCCCCCACTCATGCTCTGCCTCTCTCTTCTCTCTCTCTCTCTCTCTCTCTCTCAAAAATAAATAATAAACATTTTTTTAAAAAGTGTTGAGTAGTATGTTGCAAGGTACTTAAAAATCATCTGTGTGCTCTAGTAATTCTTTCGTTAGGTGTTGATTCTTTCACTTGGTGATATTTGCACTTCATTTTATGGCATTTACATTTTCTCAAAAAATTGGTGGATTTCGGTTGTAAATAATTAATTAATTAAAAAACTAAAAATAAAAAAAAAGTGTTAAAATCGGGTGGCAAAAATGCACCTGATGAAAAAGTGTTTTTAAGTTCACAGTGTACACTTAATTTCTTAGACTATATAGTGTCTTGTCAATTAACAAATACAGTAATACTACAGTTAATATAATACAGTAATACAAAATACAGTTAATCAGTTAACAAATACAGTAATAACTAAGCATGTGTTCTATGTGTGGCAATATAATGGGTACCATAGATGACACATACAAAGAAATAAAACATACCCCGTGCCCTAAAATTTGGTTCCCCCATAAAAATTTACTGAGCTTTATTATGTGGGGATAGCCTTGGATAGGCTTTAGGATTACCAATATTTAAAATAAAGGCCTCTACCTTATGGATGAGAGAGGGATGCAAGAGAAAGGCAGACACATAAATACATCATTTCAACAGAGCTTGGTAGGCACACAAAAGGAGACATATTTCTCTACACAGGAAAACAGACGATTTGAGAAGGATACAAGACCATCCAAAATAAAATGCTAAAATATACAATAGATACCATCCAGGATTAGGAAGCAAGATTACCTCTGGCTAAAGCAGTCAAAGGAAGCTTCATGAAAGAAAAGCCTTGAAGGCTGAGGTCAAATTTTAATTAATGGTCAAATTTAATTTAAAAATGCAAAAGAAGGGGCGCCTGGGTGGCGCAGTCGGTTAAGCGTCCGACTTCAGCCAGGTCACGATCTCGCGGTCCGTGAGTTCGAGCCCCGAGTCAGGCTATGGGCTGATGGCTCAGAGCCTGGAGCCTGTTTCCGATTCTGTGTCTCCCTCTCTCTCTGCCCCTCCCCCGTTCATGCTCTGTCTCTCTCTCTCTGTCCCAAAAATAAATAAACGTTGAAAAAAAAATTTAAAAAAAAATGCAAAAGAAGAGTTCACAACAATAGCAAAGGGACAGAGGAATAGGAGACGAAAATGGCTCATGTTGAGACATATAAAACAAAGTGTCTCCTAAAAATGAAACTCATAATAATCTATCAAGTATTTGTTACAAAAGATACTTTTAATGGAGGAAAACATAGTTTTTTCAAATATTCACAACTAGATTGCATAGGAAATAGTAAAAATATATGTGCTCCTCCATCCTAGTCCCAACTGGTATGACATAATTATCCCAAAATAGTTCTTCCTAGCAGAGGAAAAGAAATGACAAGAGATTTTTCAGGAATTCTACTTCACAGGAGATTTGTCTGTATACAACATCTGGCTCTAATAGTCCACACCAACCTCAATGGTTAAATGGCTAGTAAATTAGCTTCCTTTTTGCTTTTCATCAACGTCAAAGAAAAACTTTCAATAAATTTAAATTCAGGAAATCTTACTCCACCTGTGCCTTCATCAATACTAACACCATTATTTCTTTATTCAAGTGTCTGCATTTAATTTATCCTTGAAATTAAAGGAACTTCTCCCTGACAGCTATTAACCTCTTCTATCCAGCAATAAGAAAAAGAGATGTCTTGAAAATAGCTCTTGCAACAGTCACCACAGAGATACAGGATTTTGAAGCAAGACCAGCATTTTAGCCAAGAGGTATTAAGGTGATGACATTTTCCAGTATCAATGATATATTTTAAGATACTTCAGACCATAGTGTCAGAAAGCCAGAAGATATAAAGAAAAACTGTTAGTTTTGTTTTTGTAAGTAAGGCACTAGACAGAAATAATTATTCATTCCTTGCATCCATGTATATTTCTTTTTTTAAAAAATCAGTTATTTTCTAATTTTTTTTTTCAACGTTTTATTTATTTTTGGGACAGAGAGAGACAGAGCATGGACAGGGGAGGGGCAGAGAGAGAGGGAGTCACAGAATCGGAAACAGGCTCCAGGCTCTGAGCCATCAGCCCAGAGCCTGACACGGGGCTCGAACTCACGGACCGCGAGATCGTGACCTGGCTGAAGTCGGACGCTTAACCGACTGCGCCACCCAGGCGCCCCTAAAAAATCAGTTATTTTCATTGACGTTGCCTTTACTGCTACCAATAAACAAAATCATACTGGAATCTAGCAACTGCTTTGGCATTTCCGGGACCCTAATAACTAAAGGCCCTGCCACTGCCTTCAAGCGCCTGATGGAAAGAACACAGAAGGCTCAATCTTGAACTTGCTAACAGTTCTTGCTAGCCAGCACAGATGGCGAAAACACAGAGCCCTTTGTGCCTGGAAAAAGAACTAAGGCCACCAGAGAGAATTCCCACTAATGCAGACAAGACATCAGGATCCCTTCCCAACTTGAGTCCTTGGCTCGAATCCTTCTTGCTGGCCCTTTTCAAAAGGAAACAGCGGCCTCTATTTCTGGGTAATTTTCTCCGCTCTTGTTCCCCAAGGAGTGGGAGGAGTGGGAGGCAACAGTTAAGCCCAAACACAGCCTGCGAAACTGCTCCTCGACGAGACAGCTGTGTCCCTGACTACGAGACACTGGCTGAGGGAGGCGACCGTGGCGTTCTGTCCCTTTGGAGTTGTGCCTGTCTCGCACAGCCTGCTATGAATTTCAAGCGCGCGCGACACTGCCACAGGAGCAGGTGCAGAAAAGTCAGGGCAAGGTTTGCCGGAGGGTTGGCCTCCGCGGCAGGTGGCTCTCCGCCAGCACCGGGCCTCCCCGCGCGCCGCGGGCGACAGCCTCTCACCCCCGCCCGCCCGGCTCCGCGCGCTCCTGTGGGACCGTGATAACAGGAAGGGAAAGACCCTGACTGGTAAAAGCCAGAACAAAAGTAACTTGCCATGGCGGAGAAGAGACGCGCCTTCCGCAGCCTGCAGGGCCCAAATCTAGCGGAGCACAGGCCACAAGGCTGGCCGGAAGAAGGTTTTGCTTTCAGTTCTTTGTTGACGCTAGCCTGGAGACGATGTGGAAAAAAAAACAAAAAACAAAAAAAAACCTGCCCCTCCACCGCATCCCGCTGCTCTGCGCCTCTTGGCCTCCGGGTGAAGCTCAGACCTGGGATGGCTGCTGCCTCTGTAGTCCCATAACTTTTGAAACCACGCTGGAGAGGGGCCAGAAGGAATCCCCGGCAGTACTCCGGGGCTTCTCCCGCTGCTGTGTCTGTCCCGCGCTCAGTGGAATCTGGACCGTCCTTTCTGCGCCCCCACTCGTGGGACTCGTGAGCCCCTCACTCGTGGGACTCTTCACCACGCCACACCTGTTCCCCCCACCAGCCCAGGGCCAGTCGCGGGGCGGCCAGGTGCACAGGGCACGGGTTGAAAAGCGCTCGGTCCCTGTCAACCTAGCTGACCTTGCACAAGCCATTCGGACTTCAGAGTCTGGCACCTAGAGGGACACGAGTAATCTACATACATGGCTTCAAAGTCAAAGACAGCAGGAAGAAGAAAGGCAAATGGCTGGCAAATACAAAGAAGCTCGGTTCCACTCCTAAGTAAAGAAATACAAATTGAAATTATAATGAGATCCCTTGTTTCCACCATGAGGTTGGTAACAATTAAAAAGTGCAGTAATACCCAGTGTTGGCCAGAGTGTGAGGAAGAATCCATACTGCTGCAAGCATTGACAGGTGCAAACATTTCTAAGGATTTTGACCCCTTTCAAAATGTAGTGAAAAGTGTGAAAATGCACATATCCTTACACTTAGCAGTTGCACTTTAAGAACTGAAGTTACAGTGCACAAGTGGAAGTCTTCTTCTCCTTATGAAGGCTCCCACATCACATAAAATTTATATTAAATACATTTCTGTGCTTTTCTCCTGTCAATCTGGCGTTGTCAGTTTAATTTCCAGATCCAGCCAAGGACTCTAGGAGGGTTGTTTCCTCCCCTAAAGTGCCAAACAATCCTTGAGGAAGCCTGACTCCAAATGTGGCCAAAATAATTCTAGCAGCTTATTACTGAAACTGCATCCAAAAAAATATTTTAATCCCTTACAGCCCCAGTTATGGGGCCTCCCATCTCACTGTACTTTTCTCTGAATCATAGCTTAAGGAAAATCAAATTGGTTGACACTTTCCTGGATATTTTTGTGATACCAAAAAACAAAAACAAAACCCATTATTGATATTTCACCTCTATCTTGTTAATTATCTAATTTCAAAAGATGTAGCATACATTGTGAAGATTTCTAAAAACAGCATAAAAAGAAAGTCACTTTTAAAGGAGTAGTACTCAATGCAGAAAGGGGAGCAACAAAATAGTCCTTATTACATTTTTAATAAAATATAGACCAATGCCTGCCTTTCTTGAAAGCAATTGTATCCATACACATGATCCTTAAAAGAATTTGTATCCTTCACCCTATGAACCTAGTAATTATCACCTTGAAATAGGATCAGAACTGCAGAAAAAGATTTATATTAAAAGATATAAAAGGATGTATACACATCATAGCACATATACATGTGAAAAACTAGAAACAATCTTAATATCCTACAATAGGGAAAGAGTAACCCTAGAAATAGGGTATGTTCACAAAATAAAATGTGATATATGGTTAGGAAAAAAAATTGGAAAGGAGGACATAAAAATGTTACCATTATGTGGGTGTGAATTTTTGACAATTTTTATTATTTTCATTATATTTTGTGTATCTTTCAAGTATGAGCATCTTTTTTTTTTCAATACCAACCAGATATCATTAATGCCATTTACTGTACAGTTTTGGCTTTCTGCCTTCCAAGCATATGATAGGATTGTACATCCAAGCTCCTTTACGGTTGGGTGGGGCCATATACCTAGTTCTGGTTGAGAATGAAAGGGTCATTCTGGACCAAGAATTTAATTACCACTTCAAGACCCTTCACAGCTCTTTTCCTCTGGTATGATATACACCAATAAAGATGGTGGCTGCCATTAGCTTGGGTCCCTGCGTGTTTACCATGAGCATTCTTTTTGTTGACCCATCATGGACATGTAGCATAAGCAAAGAGTAAAATTTTGTGTTTTGGTCTCTGAAATTTAGAGATAACTTGGCACATGAGTATCATGTAATCTATCCTGATTGATACAGAATTGGTATTCTGAAGTGGAGTATTGCTTTAGCCAAAAGCGGGCCGGGGGGGGGGGGGGGGAGACAATCCACGACACAATCTAAAATACATGGCTTTGGTTTAGGGACAATTGGCAAGTGATTAGAAAATAATTATCAGAGATTAGAAGGATGGCGATCCATATTATACAGTGGAAAACATTTGGTAAAACTGTCACATGTGATAGCTTGGAAGGCAGATATGTACCTAATTAGCTTGTTGTTTTTTTTTGAAACAGGGTGTGAAAAACAAAATTAGTAGCATATGTCTGTTACTACTGAGTGCATTTGACAAAGTAATATAAAAAAGAAATGAGCTTAGAAAAGAATCAGCCATTTTGAATGCCAGAATGAAAGTATATAGAGAAAGTCCAGAAATATGGGAACTTGTAGGATTGGAAGGAAAAATACTGCTCATTTCCAAATGATAACACCTTTGAGTAACAAAGACTGATTATAACTCTGCTTTATTGGGAGGCTCAAATCAATGATCAAATCAAGCTTTGGATCTCTGAACGGGTTTAAGGTCCCTCAGAACAACAACAACAACAACAGCAACAACAAACAATTAATGTTCTGAATTCAATAACCCTTTCAACTAGACAAACTAGCTAAGGGAAAAGAAACTAAAAGTGGCCTGATACCCACAATTAAGTAAAGATAGGGAGAGAAAAGAACAGGGAAGAAAGTGGAGAATTACAGCAACTGTAAGAAGTCTAGAAAAAGCTGCCAGTGTGGCTGTTAGCACAGGTAAGCTCACCCCAAAAAATAGATAAGCCGCCTACCAAGTTTTTGAACTGTACCAGCCAACTAGCCACCAGCCAGAGTAAAGAGACTATAATGGTTCAAAACTTTAAAAACGTTGGTCCCAAACATGGATCACATTGATCACAGTGTACACAGTAAGCAAGCTTTTCAGCTTCCAAGAAGGATATATTCTATATATGGTAAAGGAGGATAATGGAAAAAGAAGAATGTCCAGCAACTATGAGGACAATGAGCAAGAGAAGAATTTCCAGAGTGGAATCATGGCCTAATCAAAATTCCACACCCAGGGTGTATGGAGTATATATCTACTCAGGGAGATGGCAGAATGGCTTTGGTCTAGAGGCCACTATATGTCTCCTATTGATCTCTTTCTCCAAATGAGAGAGTTTATTGCAGTTATCTTGTTCCAGTTCCACTACTGAATACCGGGGGGGGGGGGGGGGGGTCCGGGAAAAAGAGGAGTAACATTCAGACTTGTTATAAAAACTACCACACACCGCCTAGAGTTCATGCACTTTTGAGTTTGATGCTATGACTTAGGGCAACTTTTTGGTGTGAGTGCATTTTGCGTATGAAGAAGAGTGATCCAAATATTGATGATCAGGGGCGCCTGAGTGGCTCAGTTGGTTGGGCATCCGACTTCAGCTCGGGTCATGATCGTGCAGTTCACAAGTTCGAGACCCGTGTTGGGCTCTGTGCTGACTGCTCAGAGCCTGAAGCCTACTTCGGATTCTGTGTCTCCCTATCTCTCAGCCCCTCCCCTGTTTGTGCAATGTCTCTGTCTCTGTCTGTCTCTCTCAGAAATAAACATTGAAAAAACTATAAGCAAACAAACAAAACAACAAATATTGATGATCACTAGGACAGGAAAAACTACATTCATTGATATTTTGGCTCAACTATATCTGGTTCTTCTCATTTTTACAAGATATAATTTTCTAGTTCCATTCTCTTTCAGTGAGGTCATATGACTATTTCTGGCCAATGAGATGTGAGACAAAATGACATCAGCACTTCTAAATTACCACATTTAATTGCTGGTGCAAGACTCTGCAGACTTCATTTTTCTCCACCTCCACGATTTGGGAAGCGTGTCTTGAGACTGGGCCTTAAGTGATTAGGACAAAAAGACTCCCCCTACCAACCTCTGTTGAACTTTCAACATGAATGAGAATTAAACTTTTGTTTCATTAAGCCTCAGAGATTTGGGAGGTTGTTAATACAACAGAACCTAAGCTATCCTGACTGATAAATCTACAAAGGGCAAGAGGGATTCATGATTTCACATAATTATCTTTCCTGACTTATATGCTGACAGTGTCTTTTCATACATTAAGTAGAGCTATCTCTTCCTAGACAATCTAAGGCTTCCTAACTTAATACGCAAGGGTCGATATCTTTTGGCAAATTCTCAAAGGAAACTTTCTTCCTGTAAAATCTCTAAAACTCTAAAAGTAGACAGGAGAGCCAATGGTTGATTTCTGAGATCTGGGCAGATCACACAAGGGTGGAATTGGTGAAAGGAGCCCAAGTCTGATTTTCTATGGTAAGTAACATTTGTCAAAAACATTTATCAAAAAATTGTGAATATTTAGAATTGAATGAAATTATCTATTTTGCTGCTGAAAAAATGCTCCCAAAAGAAACAAAAGTGATTATTCCAAACCTTGCCTTAAATATTAGGAAAAGATTCTTTCTGATTGTCTGTCTGCCACAGGCTAAAAATCATACCTTTTGTGCCAATCAAAATTAAATAAGGTTCTTCAAATTTTTCTCAATATTTTGAGCTTGAAATAAGCTTACTATTCCCAAAGAACTGATATATGAGACATTTTTCCCCTAAGACAGTGAATATGAAGATTTATTATAAATTTCCAGTTTTTAGGCACCATCTCTCATTCTAAAGAGAAATGTGAAAGCAACGAGATCTTCTTTTAAGTTCATTTATTTTGAGAGAGAAGGAGAGAGACTGTGACCAGAGGAGGGGCAGAAAGAGAGAGACAGCATCCCAAGCAGGCTCCACACTGTCAGCACAGAGCCCGATTCAGGGCTCAAACTCACAAACCATGAGATGATGACCTGAGTTGAAATCAGGAGTCAGATGCTTAACCGGCTCAGCCACCCAGGTGCCCCTTTCCTTTATTTTAGATGGCAGGCAGCATGAGTTAAGTTTAGGCATAGAATCTTTTTCTAAAGCTTTTTATTTCTGCCAGCATTTTAATATAAACTTACTTCTGCCATTGGCTCCTTATGAAACATAACATGTTAGGATAAAAGCTGTTCACATGTTCTTTACTAAGAAGAATTTTACCTTCTCTGAATAGAAACCTTGCATTTTACTGTTTAGTTTCTACAACTTAAAAACAATGGGATGCTAAGGAACTGGGTCTCTCTCACACTCAAAGGCACGTGCTTTCATCTTCAGGCACTCCCCTGCATCCAGCATGATAAGTGAGGAGTCCCTAGCTTTGCATTCACCTCTCCCTTTATTCTAAGGATGTCATTCCCTTAAGCTTATTCTTCCCCTTACAAGTGTAAAGGAAAGGCAATTATGGCCTTTACAAGTTCTGTTTGACGAAGGTGTCTTGGAAAGAATGGGGACCCTTGACACTCTGGGAGAAGAAAATGTTAAATAAAAAGACCACACTCAGCTCTGAAAAATATCTTTGGGGCTCTGGAGTAAAATGCTATACAATGGGAAAGAGGGAAATGATCACCCTTGAAGTTCCTTGAAATTCAAAGTCTACAGAAATCACAAACAGCTGAATATAACAGTTCTTTGGGAAATGTTGAGTGAAGTCTGCATGTTGGTGGACCCGGGGCCAAAAGAGAATTGGCCCACATGCCCACGACAGAATGAGCCAACATAGCAGGGGGACAATTGCATCACTTATGATTGATTTCAATGGACATGGCACCTGTCCACATCATTTATGAACAAACAAAACTTTTTAATACAGTACATTTACTGCACTTGCAAGCATGCAGCAGAGTTTGAAACAAGAATTCAAAAACATGGAAATATATTTTTGTATCTAAGAATAAATGGACACTTAAGAATTCAAGTTTTCATTTTTTAAAGGAAAGGGATATTCATTTTTGTCACACATGGACAGTGCTTTGGGCTCAGAAGCTCTAATATTCATCTAATTCCATGCCTCTATTCTTCAAAGTATGCTATGCAAGCCTGACCTAGAGAACATTTGACCACTTCTACTTCTCCACCTCCATTCGTCTCCCGTTGAAAGTAAATGTTAACTAAATCCTCTAAAATTTCTTCATCCATCATCTGAAGATCTTCCATTCCAGTGAGAAGCACCGTCCTCCTAGATATTCCTGAAAATGCCTAAAAGGAAAGTACAAAAGATAAATAGAAACTTTTCTAAGACATTTGAATTGCAAAACTTTATAAGCTCTGCTTAATACTTCAGACCTTATCTTAGAAGAGACAAGGAGCCTCAGAACGACTTTTCAAGCAACAGAATATCTAAGTCGGATCTGAGTTTCAGAAAGATAACTCAGGCAGCATTATGACAAATGGAGGAAAGAAGGGCATCCCTATGGACAGAAGGACCATAGTGACAGAAGTAGTCAGAGGTGGAAGTAACAAGACTGAATGACCAAATGAATGTTGGAGGTGAAGCAAAATGAGGAATTAAGCATGAGCTGTAGCTTTCAGGTTGGTGGACTATGTAAGACTGTGGTGCCATTTAGTACCTAAGTAGGAACAGAAAAAAGGAGGTTGGGGTACGGATAATGAGTTCAGAGAAAATGAGCAGGAAGAATCATTTTTAATGCCCAATGACAGTAGACACATGAAAGATATGTAGCTATGTCTCCATATACAAAAGTATTATGTCATTACCTGAGTACTTTCAGTTTTTAAAAAGAGTGTAATAAATTAAATAAGGTATAATTTCACACTAAAATATTTTTTAAAAAAGACACACTTATTTTGCACCAAGCAGATCTGAAGAAACTATTTTGATATTGCTCACTAATAAGTCTCAAACAGTAACAGACACAACTTCTTTATTTCTTGTGAGGTGGGGTTAAGCAATAAGTTCTCAAAATGAAGGAAAGAGATGACTTTACCTGAAAATTTTTCAAGTCTGTTTCTATGTATGGAGAAACAATAACTCTATAGCAGTTTTGATTTATACAAAGCGGATATTCTTTCTTTTTCAAAATCTTGTCAGCAACTAGAAGTAGATTTTTAAAAAATTATTTTCTTTTTAATATCATAAACATTTTTAACCAAAGTTAAAACTTTCTTCAAATGAAACATCACAGTAAATAGTGAATTTAGTGATTACATTTTTAAAAATTCTACAAAAAATTCAACAGTCCACTTTAAAGACTCTGCAGTACATAATTTTGGAAAATATAAGACCAAACAATAATGGGGTTTAAATAGATCTTCTGTCTTGAACTATCCACTGCAATCAGTCAATGCAGAAGTTTGTGATGTCCTCAGACAGATCTACTTTGAGCTCCATAAAATGCAATAACCATATGCAAAAAGTAGCCCACCCATCCTAACAAGACTGTGAGTTTCCCAGTTTCTCAAGAAGTATAATTGAAAACTATGATTACTGTATATAGGGGCGCCTAGGTGGCTCCCCTAGGTTAAGCATCCAACACTTGATTTAGGCTCAGATCATGATCTCACAGTTCATGAGTTTGAGCCCTGTGGGGGATTTTCTCTCTTTCCCTCTCTGTCCCTCACCTGCTTGTACACACTCACTCTCTCTCTCTCAAAATAGAAGAAACTTAAAAAAAAAAAGAATACTGTATATATACATTTTACAATATACATGTATACACACATATATAATTACTATATTACTACAATACATAAAATTTTATATAAAATTACTTAGTTGTCCTATAACTAATACATGATATTTTTCAGTAAGCTGATATAATGATGTTAACCAAGGGAGGGGAGGGATTTGATCGTTATCTAGAAACTGAAGGCAAATAACAAAAATTCATCAGTTTTCTCCAGCACAAAGAATAATCAGATTTATTTTGAGCAGCATTTTTCTCCTGGAGGGGAAAAAAATAATGTTTCAGATTGCATCAAGTTTAACAGAAACAGTACTTAAGAATATCGTATCACTATGTATGCTTTTTCGCCTCTCACCAGTCCATGTTGGATGGGCAATATGGTGCAGTGGTTAAGAGGCCAGGCCCCTGCTGGCAAGGATGTGGAGAAATTGAAACCCTGGTACAGTGCTGGTAAGAATATAAAATGGTAGAGCCACTGTGGAAAATAGTATGTCATCTCAAAACATTAAACATAGAATCACCATATGATCCAGGATTTCCAGAAAGATCTAGAAAGCCACTCAAGTAACCATAACTAATTAAATAGTAGGAGAAAGGCAAGTTTAAGGAAATGTCTCCAGTTCTACTAAGTTAATGCTCTTCTTTTTTTTTTAATTTTATTTTTTTAAATAAATCTCTACACTTAACATGGGGCTCGATCCCACAACCCCAAGATCAAGAGTTGCACACTCCACCAACTGAGCCCGACAGGAGCCCCTGCTCTTTATTACCAAGTTTCTTTAAAAAGCATGTATTACTTTGTTATGAAATAAACAATCAATGTTTTTTTAAATTGTATACCTGGCTTTCTTTTACATATGCCAACCCAGGAGAAACCCTAAGAACTGGATTAACTAGAGCAAGATATTTTTACATTGAGAATCACTTGAACATATTAACAAAAGCAGCTGCTGTAGAATTGTGTATTTTTTTAAATGTTTAGTTTTTGAGAGAGAGAGAGAGACCGCGTGCATGGGAGAGGGGCAGAGAAAGAGGGAGACACAGAATCTGAAGCAGGTTCCAGGCTCCATGGCGTCAGCACAGAGCCACATGCAGAGCTCGAACCCACGAATGTGAGATCATGACCTGAGCCAAAGTCAGATGCTTAACCAACTGAGCCGCCCAGGCATCCCAAATAGTATATTTTTAATCATAAGACTGTAAAGCCCCCTCAGATGATTTGGTAAAAACTCCATTTCTCCTTTCCATTCATGCCTTGCCTTCCCTGGAATCTACTCCCTCCAACTAAGAGACCGTTGTCCATCTTAATAGATGGGATAGGAAGTGATAGTTTATACATATGTATTTCTAAATTTCTCTGCCACATACTCACTATAATTTGGGGTTCATTATTTACCCTCCCTAGGACTCAGTTTCCACATCAATAAAATGGGTACGACACCTGTCTCCAGAATTGTGCTATGGATAAGAGGAGACACATGTATAGAACACCTGGCTCTTTGCCTGGCATGTGCTGAGAATGCACAAAGTTGATGTGCTTGAAATATTATTCTCAGTAGCATTCACAGAAATCATTCTCAGGACTCCACCATTTTAAAAGGTTTTTTAAAAATCTATTATTATTCTACTTAATAAATTCCAAATAGAAGAAGTAGCAAAGGAGTACTTTCAGAAATGGCAGAACATAGAGGTGCCTGGGTGGCTCAGTCAGTTAAGTGTCCACCTTGGGTTCAGGTCATGACCTCGCGGTCTGTGGGATTGAGCCCCACATCGGGCTCTGTGCTGATAGCTCAGAGCCTGGAGCCTGCCTCAGATTCTGTGTCTTCATCCCTCTCTCTACCCCTCCCCCACTCATGCTCTGCCTCTCTCCATCTCTCAAAAAATGAATAAACGTTTAAAAAAATTTTTTTTAAAGAAATGGCAAACATAAATATAAATGGTAGAGTATTTTTTAACTTCCTACGTGTGTGAATACCTCCAGTTTCCAAAAATGTAATCACAGCACTCCGGGACTGCTTATCATACTGCACGCATAGCACTTCTCCACCTCCATTTCGGGACTTAGAAAAGCTCAGTTCTAGCTTGTCTCTCATCTGATCTTCAGGCAATTCATCAGGAATTTCAGTAACATTGATCTTCACTTTAGACACTTCTACATGAACCTGGGAAATCATTTCATATTCAGAAATATGGATGAGAAAAGTGCTCACATCTAACAGAATTCTAAAAAGCTTTAATCAACGTGTTACCTGGAATCTGACTCCCGAATTTAATGGAACTGGCTTGGCCATAACCTCCACATCTACATCCTCTATCTGCACGTGATGTTTCCCCATTCTGATGACATTTTGGGCAACTGAAAAATAATTCGGGAGTATTAATTTCCAATATTTCAATAAATTTTTTCACTTCTGGTTAAGAACAAATTATCCTAAATATTTAAAATTTTCTTGAATTCTAAAGGATCTAGGGGCGACTGGGTGGCTCAGTCAGTTGAATGTTCGACTTTGGCTCAGGTCATGATCTCACAGTTCACAAGTTTGAGCCCGGCATCAGGCTCAGTGCTGACAGCTCGGAGCCTGGAGCCTGTTTCGGATTCTGTGTCTCCCTCTCTCTTTGCCCCTCCCCCGCTCATGCTCTGTCTCTCTTTCTCTCGACAATAAATAAGACATTTTTTAAAAATTAAAATAAAATTAAATTAAATAAAGGATTTAATTTTTTTAAATTTTCTTAGGGCTTCTAAGTGATAACGGTCTTGCCACCAAAGCGACAAACAAATATATTAACGTTAAAATATCAAAATACATCAGCAAAAATGACAAAACTTCCAGTTATAAGATGAAGGAGTACCAGGGATGTCATGTACAACATGGTGACTACAGCGAACACTGCTGTGCAGTATACAGGAAAGGGGTTAAGAGAGTAGAGCCTAAGTGTTCTCATGACAAGCAAAAAAAAATCCTTTTTCCTTTTTTTTTTTTTTTTTTTTGTTGTAGCTATAGAAATTCTTTTCATTGCACATAAATGAGAAGATGGATGTTGGCTGCACCTACTGTGGTCATCATTTCACAGTACATGTAGATCAATGTATCATGCTGTACACCTTAAACTTACATAGTGATATGTATCAATTATTTCTCAGTAAAACTGGAAACAAATGATAGTGTAGAAATTCTCATCGGGGCGCCTGGGTGGCTCGGTCGGTTGGGCTTCCGACTTCGGCTCAGGTCATGATCTTACAGTCTGTGAGCTCGAGCCCCGCGTCAGGCTCTGTGCTGACAGCTCGGAGCCTGGAGCCTGTTTCAGATTCTGTGTCTCCCTCTCTCTCTGTCCCTCCCCTGCTCATGCTCTGTCTCTCTCTGTCTCAAAAATAAATAAAAACATTAAAAAAAATTAAAATTAAAAAAAAAGAAATTCTCATCAAGTTCTAGATTCAGCTCTTAAGAGATAAGCCTGGTGATTCTTTAGAAATTCATATATTATTTCAGCACAGCCACACACCCTTCCTCTCCACGGTTCACAGAATGACCAGAGAATTCCCTTAGTGCATTAAGGCACAGCCAGAAACTTCTTCCATGTTAAGTAAGCTGGAAAAACTTTTGTGTCAGTGTCATTCTGACAATCTTATTTATCATTTGTCACTTCTCTTTAATATGTCAAAAACCAAAGAAATAAATTCTCATTTTTGTCTTTCTTAAGGTTTCCATATTAAAGACCACACGGGCTTGAATATCAAAGTGCAAATCATTTTTTTTTTTTTTTGCCATATTTAATGAGGAATTTTACTTTTGCTAAAACGCCCTGGAGATCATTCATTAAAAAGATGATAGCTTATACCAATCACAAAACTATCAAATCTAATTTATTTGTGCAAATGGGAGAGGCTAAGTAATATAATTATGCCAAAAATTAAAACTCCAGACAGCAACTATAGTTCAGTTTAAAATGCATGTGGGTGTGTATTTATTTTTAATTATGTGATATGAGAGTTTGTAACACCTCAACTGTTAATACAGAGCTGCTTAACCTAATTTGTCACAAAGATAAGAGATGCCCACTCCCAGTCCTATAAATCTCACATGTGTTTATGACAACTGAACAGCATACACACCACAGATGAAGGAAGAGGGAAACAGGCTAAAAGGCAGGGCGTTGTCTTGTGGGAATTCACACTCATTGTACTGAGATATGACTGGATAACTTGAATTACAACTTACGTTCTTGTTAGTGGCAACAGGCAACAATAACAGAAAATGCCAATGAAGTAACAGTTAGATGATGTTCTTTCCCTTCCACACCCCCCCCCCCCACCCAAACTCCAACATCTGGTGATCTGACGCAGCTGAAAGGGACCACTTGCGTTTCAGCTTTTGTGACTCTGACTATCAAAAGCCAACTTCTGTTTAATTGTGTATGAGCCCAAAGCTGTCCCAGGGGAGCAAGACCTCAGAGCTGGGCCAAGAGTGGAAACAGCGATGCAGCTGTTTCTGAAGAGAACCCTATTCCCAGCATTCCCAGGTAATCCCTGCACAGAATCCCTGCCTCCCAAATCCTCGCTTCCATCTTTTGATTATATCCCCATCACCATTGCTGACTGCCAACACAGGGCTCTTGGCACCCTCATCTGTAGAAGCAGACCCAGGGTGGACCCATGGTGAACGAACAGTATGTGCCTATGCTAACCTGCTAGAATGTCTTTCCTTTTAACATTTATTTGCAGACTATGGTGATGGACCAGGTGTACGGAGACATGAGTTATAACCATAGATTCTCAGAACCTGAGCACCGGAAGGGCTTAAGACCATCTGGCCCCACCCCATAATGTGACAAATACAAGAACGAAGGCCCGGCATAGTGGCCTGCTCCGAGGACTGCTGGTCTAGGAGAAAGGACGTGGGTCCTCAGGGTTTGGCTCTCAGCTTTGCAATTTTTAACAGTATGAACCTTGAGCGAGTTCTTTATCTTTCCTTATCTGGAAAATTCCCAACAAGTAGCAATAATGACAGCTAACATTTATGAAGTGTTTATTATGTGTCAGATACCATGCTAAGTATTTTACCAACATTTCTCATTTAATACTCAACGCAAATCCCATGAGATAGGTACTACCACTGCCATAAAAATCTGAGATTTAGGAAGAACCCAACTAAAATCACACTTCTGGAAATGGGAAAATCTGGCATACAAAGCCAGATTCTCCTCACTAAGGAGAATAGAGTCCTACACCATGGCAGACTTAGCAAACATCAGGTCCCATTCCTAAACCTCAGACTCTTGGACTCTTTCCATTCACTGGTCATGTGCCCTTAGGTAAGTCACTTAAACACCTGAGAATCTGTTTTCTTGGTTATAAGATGCAAAGAGTAATTCTCCTATCATATTGCTTTCACAGAGTCAAGTAAGTATAAAATGAGATGTCTTTAAGAACTCTGAGAACCATGTAGAGCTCTACTACCTTAAAATATTATTACTAGTTAAAAAGGGGGGGAGCTTCTGGGGGTTTAGTTGGATGGGTGTCCTATCCTTGATTTCAGCTCCTACCCTGAGTCAGGTCATAATCCCAGGGTCGTGGGATCAAGCCCTGCATCAGGCTCCTCACTGAGCATAGAGCCTACTTGGAATTCTCTCTCCCTCTCTCTCTCTCTCAAAAATAAAGTATTACTAGTAGTATTTGGAGGTGGCAGATGGAGTAAAAACACTAGTGTTGGACATCACAACACCTTGAGTCCCAGAGTCATGTTCTGAACAAATGATCATACTCAACGCTCTTTTTTTTTTTATTTTTTTTAACATTTATTTATTTATTTTTGAGAGACAGAGAGAGACAGAGCACAAGCGGGGGATGGGCAGAGAGAGAAGGAGACACAGAATCCGAAGCAGGCTCCAGGCTCTGAGCTGTCAGCACAGAGCCTGACGTGGGGCTCGAACTCACAAACCACGACATCATGACCTGAGCTGAAGTCGAACGCCCAACCGACTGAGCCACCCAGGCGCCCCACTCAACGCTCTTAATGTCTGAGTTTTCTCATCAAAAAATGGGGACAACCCTACCTGCCCCAAGGTGTTACTATGAGATGAGATGAAATGACAAATATTAAAATTATAAAGCAATAGCCAAATATCTATGAAAGCTCTTTGAAAGTGCCTGTGCTTTCCAAAAGTAACATGATCGAATTTTTGAACATTACTCATACCTTCTTCTTTTTCAAAGGTGATAAGTGCTTGTCCTTTCTGTAGCTCATAAAGAACTTGCGAGCTCACTTGAAATGAACAGGAGACATTTAAAAACTGGCTGTCATTCTCAGGATTCTCTAAAGATGTGAATTTCATCTCTGTTTCAGGAATATCCTCTTTAATCTAATTTAAACAGAAATGTTTGATTAAAATCAAGACAAGAAATAACCTAAGCCCTTCCTGTGATAATGTGATTTGATCATCCAATAATTCATTCTCCACTGATTTCAGAACCCCACAGAATGCTAAGTGTGGTCTTAGTGAATATCTTTAGTAATTACTTCTTCCCAGGTAAGTACTCAGTAAAGTAATCAGATGCTGATCCTTTAATATTATTTCCCAGATGAAATTATAAGTATATAATCTCTCATTTTATCTAATCAATGTTTAAAGTAGCCAATATTGGATGGTGTTCGATTCTAAAGTCTACATCATTCCTGTAGATAAGTACCTTTTAAACAACTATACCAATAATAGGGTATCCTACAAGGGAATCATAAGACAATATGTTTATTCTCTTTGCAAAGTGTTATAAATTAGAGTTGCATATATGCTAAGTTTATTTTAATAGCGAACCCAGATAATTTCATCCAAAAAGAAAGCCTCCCAAATTATATGATTTAATAATTGTCAAATTTAAATTCCCCCTTCCCCAACACCTGCCCATCAACTTTTTAAAAAAAAATTTTTTTAACGTTTATTTATTTTTGAGAGAGACAGAGCTTGAGTGGGGGAGGGGCAGAGAGAAGGGAGATACAGAATCCGAAGCAGGCTCCAGACCCTGAGCTGTCAGCACAGAGCCCAATGCGGGGCTCAAACCCACGGACCGTGAGATCATGACCTGAGCGAAGTCGGACTGTGCCCATCAACTTTTTAACCATTACCAAACTTAGATTTATAAAAATGTGAAGGGACACTATCAACAAGATTCATAATCTGAAGGATAAAGTTAAGTGGTTATACTTATCTGTTTAAAATCATTGGGATTAACAGACATATACAACTACACATAAATGCACAAATGAATCTGTTGTTTGCATTTCTATTTCCCATGATTATTTTACATGCTGAAAGAAAATTTGTGTGTTATTGCAAAGGGGTTAGAAATATTCAATGAGTTATTTGACCTAATTTCACATTTGTTCTATATCTTCACATGTAACTTCAGTAGAATCTCTGATTTCCATAAGTCCAGTTTCAAAACAATTGGCAGTGTCTGAGAATAGGTGGAGTGTTTCCCAATAATGTGGAAATACCCAATATACCCTGAAAAGTCGAGAGCTTTCTGGAATGAAAGTGCCTGATTCTGGTCTTAGGCACACTTGGCCAGGAGCAACTCATGTATGCTCTCTGGACCATAGTTTCAGTCCTCTGTAAACTGTATCAGCTGAGCTGGCTGGGTTCCCAAGATCCTTTGAGTGACAGGACTGGCTGATTTCATCTCCAGTCTGAGAAGTAACTACAATTGTAACAGTGTCCCATAAGTCCCATAAACATGGGGAACTCCATTTCCTGATATTCAATATCCTATCCCCCATTTCAGAAACAAAATATGACAATGCTTTAAGCATTTTAACTGTTTAAAGGAACAGTATGAGTTGTCATGGAGAAAAAGGAGTGAAAGTTATGTCTAATTCAAATAGACAAATCAAAAAGGGTGCAAATCAAAAAGGAAAATTTAGGAGAGGATTTAAATGGTGAAGATATATGTCCAATTTTTTTAAACTGTGAAATCCATTTAAGTTACTTGAAGAGAACAATAAAGGCACTTAGTGAGAAGACGAAGAATTTGATCCCAAAGTGATTGATAAGGACCATTGTTTTGTTTTGCATTACCATATACATAAATAAAAATTTAAAAACATACACATAAATATAAAAAAATGTATTATCAGAAACGTACAGTTAGATGAAATTTTACAAAACGATCACACACATGTGACCAGCACCCAGATCAATAAACAGAACATGACCAACACCCAGAAGCCCTCTTGGGTTCTCTTCCAGTTCCTACCTGCCGCCAAGGGCAACCAGGATGCTAACTTTTAACATCCTGCTGTTATGCGTTATTTAAATGGAAGCATATGGGGGAACCTGAGTGGCTTAGTGGGTTAAGCACCTGACTTCAGCTAAGGTCATGACCTCGCAGTTCATGCGTTTGAGCCCCACATCAGGCTCTGTGCTGACAGCTCAGAGTCTGGAGCCTGCTTTGGATTCTGTGTCTCCCTCTCTCTCTCTGCCCCTCCCCCACTCGTGCTCTGTCTCTGTCTCTCACAAATGAATAAACGTTAAAAAAATGTTTTAATAAAAATAAAAATAAATGGAAGCACTTGGTATATCCTCTTTTATGTTTTTTGCTTCAACACTGTGTTTATGAAATCCACCCATGTGGCTGCATATAGCTGTGACCTGTTCATTCTCATTGCTGTATGGTATTCCATTGTGTGAATACACCCCAAATTAATAATTCAGTCTAGTGGGGAGGGACAGTTGAGTTGTTTTCAGTTTGGGGCTATTACAAACAATGGTGCCATCAATGTTTACAGTGTTTTAAAAGTGAATTCTGTGTAACTAAATTGTTTTTTCGGAAAAATGGTGTCCGTTAAGAATGTGATATACGAAATAAAGAGGTACCTGGGAGTTTATGGTGGACTCTTGTAACTCAGCCTCAAGCCTTTGGATCTCCTCCTTTAACTGAGTATTCTCCTTTGCAATTTTATCAATTAATCTCTAAAAAATATCAAACAGCACCAAAAAATGAAACAGCTCCTGACTCCATTTTTCTAAACAAATTAAAGAAGCTAAATTTCTATCATCTTGATAAAGGCAAAGAAAGACATCATCGTTATCACCTAATAATTCTCCTACCACTGACAAGTAGTATTATCCCCATCATGCAAACAAGGAAACTACCTTTCACACTAGACCAAGGTCACAGACATTTTTATAGTGGGGCAAGGATTGAGACCCAGACCTGAATCTCATTTCAGTGTAACTCCTTGCCTGGCTATTTGTGACAACAATATGACTTTTAAATTGCACTGTAATTGTGGACATACTTTACTCAAAGGCAATTTAAAAAATTTTTGCTATGATTCCCACAGTACAGCTGCCTTGACATGCCAGACATATGGCCCTGGGTAAGTGGCTTAAGCTACCTGAACCCCCATCCCCTCATGGGTCTCATCAGATAATTGCTAAGAAAGCTCTTAACTTCTGGGTGCAAATCAAAAAAAGGAGGAAGGGAGTAAAAGAAAACAGCTAATGTTGTAAGCCTTGTAAGAGAAAGAACAGAAATACGATTCTTTTTGTAAGGTTTGAATAATAGAAATAAAATATTTGAAAAAAATTCAAAGTAATGTTGGACAAAAACATACAAAACATGCCTCACTGCAAAACTAATGGATATAAATTAATTTTTAATAGTACCCAGTAATTTTTACCTCTCTTTGTTCATCTTTCATAAATTCTTCCTCTAACCAAAGCTCCTCGTGAACTTGGCTTTTGTTATTTCCACTGTCTGCCATGATTCCTAATTATTACAAAAAGGTAAATATTTTAAAAATCATACATACACACAAATTCAAGAAGAAATAACTTTTATCCTTTTACAAAAGAAGAAATGTATTTTTGTTATATTTTTCCCTATCATCAAAGTTTTTATTATCATGTGGCTTATATTTGAACAATGCCTATATTTCAAATAACTTTCATACCTATACAGACATAAAAGGGGTCTAGAAATCCTTTGCTTTTCAACACAATGATAGAAAATAACAGGGGTGCCTGGGTGGCTCAGTCAGTTAAGCATCTGAATCTTGATTTTTGGCTCAGGTCATGATTTCATGGTAGTAGGCCGAGCTCTGCATCAGGCTCTACACTCACAGCTCTCTCTCCCTCTCTCTCTGCTCCTCTCCTCTCATGTGTGTGCTCAATCTCTCTCTCTCTCTCTCTAAAAAACAAATAAATAAACTTAAAAGAAAAAAACACAAGTCTAAAATTTTTTTAAAAAGGAAAGAAAATAACAGGTATTAATATTCCTTTGAGGTTCACATCTTAATCATAACATGGTGCCCCATATCAAAAGATTACTATTTTGGTCTTTTCAAAGATTTTGATTTATCTAATTCTTCCTATTGTACTCCCCAAATGTAAATGGAGTAGAAAGGCCCCAAACACCCTTCCTCTGCATGTACGGAAATTCTTATCAGAATTTTCACAAATCCTCCCCTGTCCAGACACCTGAATAGGAAAAAAATTACATCTTTACTTCTTTTTTTTTTCTTAACATTTATTTATATTTTGAAAGACAGCGAGAGACAGAGCACAAGCAGGGGAGGGGCAGAGACAGAGGGAGACACAGAATCTGAAGCAGACTCCAGGGTCTGAGCTGTCAGCACAGAGCCCGATGCGGGACTCAAACTCACGAACTGTGAGATCGTGACCTGAGCTAAAGTCAGTCACTTAACTGACTTAGCCACCCAGGTGCCCCAAAAATTACATCTTTACTTCTAACAACCTCTCACTGAAACATCTCTCTTCAGATATGAACATAAGGCAACAAGACACACAGTATTTGCAGCACCTGGACAAAAGTCACCAAGAGTACACAAATATTTTCATAAAATATTGTAACTGTTGCAGAAGTCCTGAAATATGTTTGTGTTTAACCTTGTTTCAAAATGATGGCAGCTACTAAACTCATTACTAGGTATTGTGATATGCTGTAATATATTGATGTATATTACTATATCAAAAATTTGCTTTTTTAAATATTTTGATAATCATATTTCAATATAATTGGTTTCCTTTGTAATTGTCTATATATTATTTTATGCATTAAAAAAAAAATTTAAAGGCCTATAGGCTTTATCAGACTGGCAAGGAATCCATGGCACAAAAAAAGTAAACATTTGCCTGCATATGAATTTACCAGATGTAAGTCCCAGATCAAAATTGAGACAAGGAATAATATAACAACTATTTTTTTTTAATTTTTTTTTTTACATTTATTTATTTTTGAGAGACAGAGAGAGACAGAGCATGAGCCAGGGAGGAGCAGAGAGAGAGGGAGACACAGAATCCGAAACAGGCTCCAGGCTCTGAGCTGTCAGCACAGAGCCCGATGCGGGGCTCAAACTCACAAACCGCGAGTTCGTGACCTAAGCTGAAGTCAGACGCTCAACCGACTGAGCCACCCAGGCGCCCCTATAACAACTATTTTTATTGCTTTAAAAACATATTAAAAACCAGCTTGTGATATAATATAATCCTCTAAAATTTCAAAAGCTAAATTCTCACTACACCTGTAGAAGAAACAGGAAAAATATTTATCCCTCCTTAAAAATAAAACAGAAGATTGGGGGGCCTAGGTGGCCCAGTCAGTTGGCCATCTAACTCTTGGTATCAGCTCAAATCATAATCTCAATGGTTCGTGAGTTTGAGCCTCACATCGGGCTCTGCCCTAACAGGGAGCCTGCCACAGATTCTCTTTCCCTCTCTCTTTGCCCCTCCCCTGCTCCGCTCCCTCTCTCTCAACATAAATAAATAAACATTTTTAAATTAATTAATTAGGGGCACCTGGGTGGCTCAGTCAGTTAAGCGTCTGACTTTGGTTCAGGTCATGATCTTGCAGTTTCTGAGTTCCAGCCCACATTGGGCTCTGTGCTGACAGCTCAGAGCCTGGATCCTGCTTCAGATTCTGTGTCTCCCTCTCTCTCTGTCCCTCCCCTGCTCACGCTCTGTCTCTCTCTGTCTCTCAATAATAAATAAATGTTAAATTTTTTTTTAATTAAAAATTTAAAAAATTAAAATTAATTAATTAAATAAAATAGAAGACTGGCAAAAAAAAGTGTGAACACTAGCAGTTTCCAAAAACAGAGGGAATCACGTAGCACCTGGATCTTGGTTTCTAATCTATTCTCCAATAAACAGAACCAGGGATCCTTGGAACAATGGCTGATTCTACCTATGGGACAAGAAATATACAAGATAAGCCTGGAGCTTCCAATGGTCAAACATACATAAAGGGGGTTTTTCAAGTAAGTAAATATACAGAAGATAAAAGGAGTCAGGTTTTTCATTGCCAGGGAAGGTAATTATAAATATAGAAAGAAAACTAGAATGAATGCTATGGATTAGAAATGGAGATATCAGTGTAACCTCATGATATCCATAGGCAGAATGACAGAAAGATACATACATGCTGTACATATCTATCTGTATATATACACCTAGCTCTGTCTGCTGAGAGGGCCTGGAAGAAAAGACAATAGCAATGAGTACACCTAGCCCCCAGAATTTGGTTTCTGATACCATCCTCCACTACAAGGAACCAAGGATTTTCAGAGAAATGGTTGATACCAGGACTGGGACAGGAAAAATACAAAATAAGCACCTAATGTTGCCAGAAAGCAAAGAAGTGCTCAAAGAATGATGAGGGCATGTCGAAAAGACATGAAACCCAGCTTGAGGAGGTTCTTACTGGCCAAATCTGGGACTAAATAAAGCATAAAAATAAATAATGACACTGAGTATCATTATGAATTAAGCATAAAAAAAAGTCCACTGAGTAAATTAAAAATCTATGAGTCCATACCAACATACATACATACATACATACATACATACATACATACATAAATTGAAATTTTGGTAAGAAAAAGACCATCCAGTTAGTTTCAAAATACTTCCACACAACCGGGGCACCTGGGTGTCTCAGTCGGTTAAGTGTCCGACTTCAGCTCATGATCTCACGGTTTGTGAGTTCAGGCCCCGCGTCGGGCTCTGTGCTGACAGCTCAGAGCCTGGAGCCTGCTTAAGATTCTGTCTCCCTCTCTCTCTGCCCCTCCCCCCCCCGTCAATAATAAAGGTTAAAAAAATTAAAAAATACTTCCATACAACATATTAATTTCAAAGGGTAAAAAGTAGCTTTACATTGAAGAAGCCAGGCAGATGCCACCATAATAAAATAAACAAAGTAAATAATGAAATAAGCCAAAATCATCTGCCATCTGATAGGGTGCACTTAGAACACAGCATGACTTCTATGATATTCCTGCCAAAGATACGTAATCTGAATCTCAGTATGAGGAAACATTAGATAAACTGGCCTGTTCTCTCCAAAAGTGTTAAGCTCATGAAAGCCAGTGAAAGGCTGAGAAACTCTTCCAGACAGGAGACTAAAGGGACATCACAACTAAATGCAGTACATGACTCTGAATTGGGCCTTTTTGCTACACAGGATATTATTAGTACAACTGTCAAAATGTGAATGGGATCCAAGGATTTGATGGCAGTAACGTATCAATATTAATTTCATTTTGATGACTGAATTTTAGTTAGGTAGAGAATATGTTTTGTGTAGGAAATATATATTCAAGAATTCCAGAGCAACGGGTCTTGAAGTTAAAATCTTATTCTCAAATAATTCAGGAAAAAGGAAAGTTGTTTGTTTTGTACTTGCAACTTTTCTGTAAGTATGAGATGGTTTCAAAATATATTAGTAGCTCCCTATTGCACCAACTACAGAATCCTTTTAATGAGACTCAACAGTCATCTGAGGTCTTACACAGTCTAACCAAAACTTACTTTCTAGTCTTATTCAGACAACTTCTAAACTAAGCACCCTAACCATACTGAACACCTGAAGGTCCCTCCTTTCCCTCCTGTCCCTCAATATGTCATATACTTCCTCTCCTCTCAACCTTAATGAAATTCTACTGTTCTTCAAGGTCCATCCCAAATTTCCCCCAAGTTTTTAAAGCCTTTTCTGATTCCCCTAAAGGACATTACTTCTCCCTCTTTTATCTCTTTTGGAGAGCTTTAATTATTTGTATGCCTGTGTCATTTTCCATGACTAGATGTTTATGACCTTGAGGCCAAGGACCATGTCCACTCCTCCTTGCATCCATTCAGAGCACAATATAAGAATACACACTGACAACTGTGGTATCTTAACTAGTATTTGTTCTGCTCGGGACATTCCATCCATGTGAAGTTCTCTTATTACATTTCCGGAAAGCAGAAATGGCAACATTATTTGTTTGATTGCTTTTTTTTAAATCAATATTTTTAAGAGTTTGTAATAAAGACTCTCAATATATTTAACTCATATAAATGGTCTACTACATAATACTCCCAGAACTTTTTTTTGGTATATTTAGTGTCTGGATACTTCCCCTTTTTGCTTAGTGGGATGTACAGTAATAGGCTTCCTTTTATACCATCAGATAGTAGGCAAAATAATGACCCTCTCAAAGTTGCCCATGCCTAATCCCCAGAATCTATGAATATGTCAGATTACAATTAAGGTTGTAGATTGAATCAAGGTCACTAATCAGACGACTTTAAAATATGAAAATCATTCTGGATTATCCATGGGGCCAATATAATCATGAGGGCCCTTAAAAGTAAAAGAGGAAAGCCAAAGAGCAGAGTCAGAGTGAGATGTGACAACAGAATAATGTTCAGAGAGATGCAGTGATGCTGCCTTTAAAGATGGAGAAAGAACATCACTAAGCCAAGGAAGGAGGGCAGCATACAGAAACTGGGGGGAAAAAAAAGAAAACAAGCTCACCCCAGAAGCCTCCAGAAAGAAAAGCAACTCTGCAGACACCTTGATTTTAGCCCAGTGGGATCCAGGTTGGCCTTCTAACCTGTAGACTTTATTTTTTTTTTAAATATATATGAAATTTATTGTCAAATTGGTTTCCATACAACACCCAGTGCTCATACCAACAGGTGCATTCCTCAATGCCCATCACCCACTTCCCCCCCCCCCCCCATCAACCCTCAGTTTATTCTCAGTTTTTAAGAGTTTCTTATGGTTTGGCTCCCTCCCTCTCTCTTTTTTTTCCCCTCCCCCATGGTCTTCTGTTAAGTTTCTCAGGATCCACATAAGAGTGAAAACATATGGTATCTGTCTTTCTCCGTATGACTTATTTCACTTAGCACAATAACCTACAGACTTTCAAGATAATAAATTTGCGATTTTTAAGCCACTAAGTCTATGGTAATTCTTATGACAGCGAATGAAAAATCCAATGCAAATCATCACCACTCACCTACCACCTATTTTCCTAATATATCACTTTGTGCCAGGCCTGATAGAATGGAATCCTTCCATAAGCCTGCCCCGCAGCAAATGACAGGAAATGAGGGGAAGGAAGAAAGGAAGTAGTTTTTAATACAATGGCGATACACATATATAGTTTAAACAAAACAAAACAAAACAAAACAAACTCATGCATGTTCTAGAGACAGAAAAACAGCGTGCTTTCCTTTGGATCTCTTTCAAGAAAATCCTTGCATATTCCAAAAAGTGAGGCACAACTGCCAAACCCTGCACCTGACAAGGAGAGTAAATCTTAAGGAATCAAGTTCCCCTAAGAACTACATCGAGACACTCTCCCAGGAACATTGAGGAAACACCAACCATTTTAAGTTTCAATTTCCCAAATTAAGCAAACCAAGAGGACGGGGTCAGAGGCCAGAGCGGGGGAGGGGATGGTGGTGAGACAGACGCGGCCCGCTTCACCCCCGCCCTGCACGCACCCTGGCGGCTGTGTCACCGTAGCGACCCCTCGGCTCGCTGCCGGCCGCCTCCCCCCTTGCCGCCCCGGGACCCGCGGAACCCGCCTCCCTCCCCATCCAGGGCCTCTCTAGGAGCAGGGATGGGGATGGGGGGGGGGGCAGGGCGCCACTCACCCGCCTCTCCGGTGGGACGCGGCTCCCAGCGAGGGCGCCCTTCCGGAAACTTCACCGGGCTGAGCGCGGAAGGAGCGTCGCCAGAAGTCCCGGGGTCGCACGCAAGGGCTGCCTTATTCCCAAATGCTCGTAGTTCGTAGTTCGGGTCAACAGTTTGGTTGCTAAAACCAAAAACAACCCCCCCCCCGCCGTCACCCCCCACACCGCAAAAAAAAAAAAAAAAAAAAGGAAAAGACGTTAAAAGGGAAAGGGAGGGAAGGAGAAGAGAAGGAAAAGACAGACGAAATTGTTGCTCATATGGAGATTTTCTTTAAAAGTAACCACTGTTCCCACAGCTCTTTCTGCCCCTGGGTCCTGTCCCCCGAGCCTTAATGAAATCACCTTTTTTCACCCGAAGAAACACAAAAACAAAGAGAAACAACAACAACAACAACAACAAAAACTAACCACTGTTGGAATACCAAATGTGGTGTCTCCAACGATGAATTACTCACAAGTTGTAAGTATTTTCAGTTTCGATTTTTAAGACGTGGTTCTTTTGATACAGAAAATAAACTGTCAGGTACCAAAGCACAGAGGGGTTGGGTGAAGTAGGTCAAGGGGATTAACATGTACAAACTTCCAATTATAAAATAAATAAGTCACAGGGATATAACGTACAGCACAAGAAATATAGTAAATAATATCGTTAATAACTTTGTATGGTGACAGGTGGTAACTAGGCTTATCACGGGGATCACTTCCTGGTAATGTATACAATTATCAAATCACTGTCATGTACACCTGAACCTAATAGGATATAGTAGGTCAACTATACTTCAATTTTTAAAAAAGTGGCTGTTTTGCTTTTGTTTGAAAGGAGTCTGTCTGCAAAGTGTTCCTGAAGTTTGCATAAGCACTAATTTCAGGATGTATTTTTAAAAGTAACCCTTTTTATGTGTATATTCCTGGACATGTTGTTGGAAAAGTAGATAGAAACCAAATAAGGTCAAAGTGGAAGTCTCTCTTCAAGATAGTAACTCTCACGATAAGTCATTGGTCATTATAATCTCAATCTATAAATATTTACAGCCAGCACAAGTTCAATTTTTGTGTGTCTTTTGCAATGTCCTCTAGGCTATGAAGTTGGGAAAAAGCTGTGGTGTTCGCTTGGTTTCTGTGACCCATGTCCCTTGAAAGCTTTCTTACAATCTTTTGTTTTGTTGTGAAACTTGTAAATAAATGCTTCACTGAGTGTGATCTTTTCCTTTGAAAATAAAAACATCTGGCTTATTTCAAGAACTACCGTATTTCTTAATCCTACACAAGGAACCACCCCACAGCTGCACTTGCTCATAAATAGAGGTCAAGGAGGAGATGTATCAAAATGATTTCCAGGCATACATTCTAGGTTATATAGCACTATACAGTCATATATAACAATCGACACAGTGGTCGAAAATAACAGAGGTACAAAAATCAAATTCATTTATGTCAAGAATACAATGGGAATAAAGTTGCTTTAGTGCATGACAAGGACTTTTGTGCTCATCAGCCCAGCTAGAAAGTACAAAAACTCCATCTGTCGCAGCTTGAGAATTATTTCTGTTCCACCTTAGAATTTTAGAGAGCGTGAACTCTAGAGGTTATTGAGTTCAACCATTTCTTCTTTGATGTTATTTTAGTTTTTCATAAGAAGATGATAAGCACAGTAAGACTGATCTAATATTGACTCATCCTGCTAAAGGGCAAAGGATACAGGTAGTAGGGGAGCCTTTGGGCCTCCTGCATACTAAAGCTGAGTCATGTGTAACAGTCTTCAGATCCAGTCCCCTGCAAAGTGATGGGACTTCGAACGATGAACATAGTCAGCTCGTGGACATATTATTATTAACAATCATAACTGCTAACATCTACAGAGAACTCCTGGACATTTTATAACCCTTTTTATTTTGCCAATAATATGAGATATGGGTATTACCCACATGTGCAGATGAGGGCACTAAGGCTTAAAGAGGTGATGAAAATCAAGCAACTAATATGTGATGACATCGATATCATATTTTACTCTCAGCCATGAAATCAAGTGTCTCCACACTGTGTTCTATGGTGCCTGGAGAAGAAAGAATTCTATGGCCAAATATGACTGAAAAATGTTGCATACTGGATTCACTTTGGAGATTCACAATGCACATCAGCACATTAAGAGTTTTAAGAAGTATTGGGGCACCTGGGTGGCTCAGTCGGTTAAGTATCCGACTTCAGCTCAGGTCATGATCTCGCGGTCAGTGAGTTCGAGCCCCGCGTCTGGCTCTGTGCAGCCAGGAGCCTGCTATAGATTCTGTGTCTCCCTCTCTCTTTGCCCCTCCTCCACTCACACTCTGTCTCTCAAAATGAGTAAATGTTAAAAAAAAAATTAAGAGTTTTAAGTATTGCAGGAAGAAATTAAACTACAAATTAAAAAGTTTAACTTTATTCAACCTTGAATTTATCAAACTTATTTGACCACTAAATCCTTTTTTTTTTTCATGAAGCAGCTATTAAAATCTCAAAGAGTTTCTAATGGTACAATTTGAGTGATGCTTTGCTAATGATGGGGTTCAGGACATGCTACCTCAAAATATGACACTGAGTATTTTAAACTGAAGGAGTTTGAAAAATGAGTAGAAGCAAGAAGGTCATTGTGACCTTTTCCCCTACACCGCTCTTCTCCTCTGAAACAGGTCATGAACCCTCCTGTGTGAGGTGCCTTCCCAATACCTGAAGGAAAGGAGAATTCTTACCGCTGAAGACAAAGGGACACAGAGAAGAATCTTAACAAGCAGGACTTGCTAAGTTTCCCCCAGTTCATGATTGCCTCATACTCTCTCATCTGACATATTTCTACATGACTGTTCAGTGTTCATTAAACCTAGCATAAAAATACCCAGGCCTGTTTCCTTGGGTCTTCACTTCCTTATGAAGTCTCCCATGTCGCATAAAACTTGTATTAAGTACATTAGGCTTTTCTTCTGTTAATATGTCAATTTAATTTTCAGACCCAGTTAGGGACCCTAAGGACACACAAGAAAACTTTTTCCTTCCCTACACTAAATTATACCATCTCCTAATATAATAATTATTGCGTGTCTATAACACATTTGATGAATATTGTGTCATACATGAGATGTCTTGGACATCTTAGGTAAATCTGTACTGCCATGATATGAGATATACTTTGTGTTACATATCTATCTCCCCCATCAGATAGCAAGGAACTCCTCTAGATTTTCCTGTAAATTCACACAAACATACACACCAGTGTTGCCTACAATATAATGTGTGCTATGAAGAGGTGAGGGACAGGGAAGGAGCAAAATACAAAGGAGGGAGTAGTCCCCTCTATCTTAGGAGATAAGTTTTCTCTACAGAAGAGCTGGAGATAAAGTTGACACCTAAAGTTACAGGAGGTAGACTGAAACCAAGGGTCGGGTGAAAACTTCCAGTGGCATAAAACAACTAGAGAGGCACCAAGAATTTTCTGGGTATGCAAATGAGGAAACTATCTGAAATCCATTATACATTATACTCTTCCTTTTAGAAAAGGCCATGTACCTCAAGCTTATGCTGCTATTGCCAAGATTTTGGTGACCTGGTTTTCAGTTCCCCCCTGGGGAAATTGGAACACTTATAATGATGCCAGTATTGTGCAAGATCCTGGGGGATACAAAGGAATTATGTAACATCATTCTAGTTTTCAAGAGGTTTGCAATTGGAATATATAAAAGTAAAGGAATGTTGTTAAGGAAGTGGATCTTAAATGTTCTCACCACCAAAAAGAAATGGTCATTATGTGATGTGATGAAGGTGTTGACTAAAACACTGTGGCGGTAATCATTTTGCAATATATAAGTGTATCAAATCAATAAGTTGTACACCTAAAACTTACACAATGTTATATGTCAATTATATCTCAATAAAGCTGGAAAAAATAGCAGGTGGCAGATTTTTTTTAAAAAATAAAGCAAAATAAGTACCCCACCCCTTATTCTCTACCAAGCAAGCAATACTACACAGCTAAGAGCACAATTTGGTATCAGATGGAGGCTTAAGTACCCATTTGAAGTTACTGAAGTATCCCACTCTTGGTTTCCTCATCTGTAAAATGAAGCTGTTGTGAATGAGATACACGCTACATGTTAAGGGCTCAGCACAGTGTCTGTCCCACCAGGGCTAAGCTCAATACACGGTAGCTGTCCCTATTTTAAACATTGCTGAGATTTTTTTTTCCATTTTTTTCTTACACATTTCTTCTGCTTTGTCTTCCTACCTAGAGAAGTAGTTTTTTTGTTTGTTTGTTTTTGTTTTTTGTTTTTATTTATTTATTTTTTTTTTTTAATTTATATATGAAATTTATTGTCAAATTGGTTTCCATACAACACCCAGTGCTCATCCCAAAAGGTGCCCTCCTCAATACCCATCACCCACCCTCTCCTCCCTCCCACCCCCCATCAACCCTCAGTTCGTTCTCAGTTCTCAACAGTCTCTTATGCTTTGGCTCTCTCCCACTCTAACCTCTTTTTTTTTTTTCCTTCCCCTCCCCCATGGGTTCCTGTTAAGTTTCTCAGGATCCACATAAGAGTGAAACCATATGGTATCTGTCTTTCTCTGTATGGCTTATTTCACTTAGCATCACACTCTCCAGTTCCATCCACGTTGCTACAAAAGGCCATATTTCATTTTTTCTCATTGCCACGTAGTATTCCATAGTGTATATAAACCACAATTTCTTTATCCATTCATCAGTTGATGGACATTTAGGCTCTTTCCATCATTTGGCTATTGTTGAGAGTGCTGCTATGAACATTGGGGTACAAGTGCCCCTATGCATCAGTACTCCTGTGTCCCTTGGATAAATTCCTAGCAGTGCTATTGCTGGGTCATAGGGTAGGTCTATTTTTAATTTTCTGAGGAACCTCCACACTGCTTTCCAGAGCGGCTGCACCAATTTGCATTCCCACCAACAGTGCAAGAGGGTTCCCGTTTCTCCACATCCTCTCCAGCATCTATAGTCTCCTGATTTGTTCATTTTGGCCACTCTGACTGGCGTGAGGTGATACCTGAGTGTGGTTTTGATTTGTATTTCCCTGATAAAGAGCGACGCTGAACATCTTTTCATGTGCCTGTTGGCCATGCGGATGTCTTCTTTAGAGAAGTGTCTA